CGTGTGGCCCGGGCGGGATTCGATCCCCAGACTCCCGGGTGAGAGTCATACGCTCTAACCAGTCAGCCAAAGGGACATCCCCTTGGCCAAGTAGCCAGGGCGCATGATCAATCGGGACACTGTGACAGGACACTCACACTGCCACACGCGTATCCGGAGTCTGGTTGCGGGGGCATGTAGCGTTGAGAGGCCCAGACTTACCTCTCCCCAGCCACCTGAGCCAACTCCTCCGGGGGAATCCCAAGGGGTTCCCCGGCCAGGTCCGGTAAGAAGTCCGCTCTGACAGCTTCTGGCGTTTTTAAAAAGTATCCCAGGGGCACGGTAAGGGTCGGAGATGTTTAGTCTATTTAATTTCTGACTATATGAAACGATTTCTTCGGTTTTAAAGAGTGAAGTAAACTCAGACGAAGTAAAATCCGAGCCGATCCCGTTCACGTTCATGTTTACATCCATGTTTGTTTAGATTATTTTACCCGCCAATATGGCGTCTACTAACTGAGAGTCACGTGGGGTCCGGACCTCTATTCGTTAATAGCGCCACCCTTGCCTCTTCAAAAAATAGAGATATTTAGCGGCAGACATGGAACAGATTGAAGGATGTATCACAGGAAGAGTCTGAAAAAGTATGTTACGTTAATTGTCCCGTGACTGAAGGAGTACAAAGATACGCAGCAAGCCTTTTGTTTTTGGATGGAAAAGACGAGAATCGTGGGTTTAGAGGTGCCCATCGCATGAAAAGGTGGACGGGACAAATCTGTCCATGTTCAAATGTCTCTGAAATACAATTAAACTATGTAAACACAATATTGGATACACTATCGTGGCCCGGATATGTGACTGTGATGGTGGCAGGATACCTCTGTTGTCCTGGCGGGTAATTGGTTTGCACCAATCCCCGGCTGACGGAGAAGTCTGAAAGCAAAGCACCTCTGTCGATGCGTGTGCGTCTAGAACTGAGAACGCACAACTCCCCCTCGATCCGTCACTGGGTCTGGAATATTCTGCCTGATGTGAGGAAATTCCTCACATTGTGTGTGTGAAAGCATCATCATACATTCCATCAGTGAAGTGTATGTTGATTTTTTTTTTTTCCAGATGGAGAAAGCTCTGGTTACCTTAGCATTAAACACAGGCGACACACCTGCAGATGTGCTAGGGAGTTGTCCAAACCCAACAGAACCCCCCGTGGCCCAGGTCCCAGCTTCCCTGAAGGGAGTATCCCAGACTCTTCTGGAACGGGTCAGTACACAGCTTGTAGTGTGTACTTTTACAGCATCGATAGACGTTATGATTTGGATGCTTGATAGTTTTTTTTTTTTCGACCAGATACGAGCAAAAGAGGCCCAGAAGCTGCAGGCAGCCATGACCCGGAATCCCGCTCAGGAGGAGCGTCTGCTGATGATGTCGAGGCTCGGCGAGCTTGCCCGGATCCTGCGCAGTGTGTTTGTTGCAGAGAAAAAAGCAGCTTTAATCATGGAAGTGGTGTGCAACCGGATGGTAGCGAGCTACAGATCCTCTCTCAGCACAGGTCAGTTCAGTCGGGAAACACGAGTCCAGTTCTGGAGCGCTCCTCTAAGATAACCATTACTCACATTGCTGAATCATCTCTGACCATGGCTGGTACCTTTTCGCTCACTACCGTAACACATTAGTGATCTCTACCACTCACCTGTGGGTTTTTATCCTGCTGACTGGTCTGGGTGTGAGTTGAGACAGTTTCTCTTATCATCTCCTTCCAACTGAACAGGTGAAATGGAGAAACACATCCATCTACTGGCTGAAGTGGCTGCGGATTGGCTGACGATTCATCCAATAAGGAAGGATTTCTACCTGAAGCTGAACAAGAAAGTGGAGCTCAGCGTTGTTCTGGAAAAGCTCTCCCGCAGACTGAAGGAGGAGGAGGGGGTCTTAGACATCCCCTAGAGCTGCATGTTCTGAGCCTCCATGTTTCCTTGATTTTTATATATTTGTTTTTTAAAATTTTTTTTTTATTTTTTGGCTGACTGACTCCTAGAGGAATGGAAACTACGTAATTGGAGACCAAGATGGTTCTCCTGTGGTGTTGGATCTGGTCTTCTGTTAGGGATCTGTTTTTCACAATGTGGATTATTGTATTAAAAAAATTGCATTCATGATAAAGAAGCATCAAGACTGTTCTGGGTTATTTAACAGTAATCAGGACAGCAGGGACAGATCTCAGATCAGATAGTTAGTTGGCTCTGCTCCGTCAACACCATGGAGTCCCACGCCGTGGTGGTACCGTGTTTCGAACTCCTAACATTTCTGGGTGCTTCTCCTAACTCTCACTCTAAAGCAGGATTGACTAACCTTTTATCTGGTGCAGACATGAACCAAGGACTGGTCCCTGAGGGACTACTGTAGGGCTTAAGCGTGTGCAGGTTTACTAGGACAGGCATCTTGGGAGTGTTTTGCAGTGTGCCCGCGCATCATCCACAGAAAAAGCCTCTACACTGGCGTGTAGACACTGTCTGCTGAAACAGCCACGGTTGTTTTAGCGAAGTAACTGAGAATTAGACACTGATTGTTTGAGAAATCATTTATTCCATAAAATAAAAACACTTTACCTGTGTTGCTTGAATGTTTGCAAAGACGTTTTTGCCAGAATCAACTAGTGGCTTTAGTTTGTTTTTACCCATTTCTGGTTACATGATCTAATACGTGTACTCAAAGGTGAAATTGAGATTCAAAAAACATCCAATAGAAGTGCTTGATGGGTGGCTCTAATCAGATGGAAAAGTCCGCCAACAGAGAACTGCGTTCTCATGTGATCGCGACCTTTATCAACATCCAGGTGCAGAACAGAGCTGCTCCAGCTTCAAGCTGTTTGGCACTCTGGTGCTAGTCCCACAGGTGTGTGGTTTAGTGGTCCTCAGTACTGGATCAGAGAAAACACCTTTTGGTCTTTGAGTCGGTCGGTGCCTTTCAGATCTTTGAGTTCGACGATCACCATGCAGCCCAGAACCTCAGCCTGCTGCTTCTTCATTAGCTCGCAGGCTGCATGCATGGTGCCTGCAACACATACTCACAGTTAATGCTGCTTGATCCTTTAGCGGCAAGTCTGAGCTGCAGCTGGGCACAAAACCTGCTAGCAATAAGAAGGTTGAAGGTTCAAATTCCTGCTGCAGCCTTTCTGCACAGAGTGAGTGTGTGTTCTTGTGCACGTGTGGATTTAACATGTAATCCCCGTGCATCGCTATAAGGAGCCTGGGTCATGTCCATCTACTTGTGGGCCGTGGGTTCCCTGCTGTAAAACGATGAATGATTGTTTTCTGATCCCGTTTGATGTGTGCCATAGATTTCACATGATGTCTGAGTTTTACTTCTCTGGGGTATCCTGCCATTATTGCAGTCCTGTGTCTATTTAGTGTATTTCAGAGACTTTTTAACATGGGCAAATTTGTCCTCCACCTCTGAACTCATGTTTCCTGTAATTTCCTGACCAAAAAAATGTTTGTGTTTCTGTGCTTCTTCAGTCACGGGTGTATAAACTATCACAGGCTTGAGATCTCAGTAGATTTCAGATACTTATGTTTATTTATTTGGCAGACGCTTTTATCCAAAGCGACTTACAATTTATAACCTATAGGGCATGTTGTGATCTGTGGGGGAAACCGGAGTACCCGGAGGAAACCCACGCATGCATGTGGAGAACACGCAACTCCACGCAGAAAGGCCGCAGCCGAGTTTCGAACCTGCGACCTTCGTGCTGCGAGGTAACAATGCTAACCACTGCGCCACCGTGCAGCCCATATATTTAGAAAACCAGGCCTTTGCGACGACAGATGATGGCACTGCAGACCGTCCGTGAAGTATAAACTAGACTTAAAACAGGGATGTTTTAGCCTGGCAAGCCAGACTAAATAAATGTATTATTTAGTCTGGCCATGCTCCATTGACGGCTCTCGGTTGTGGGGCGGGTTCTACCGTTGTCTTTCAAATGATCTCCGCATTCCACTGGACAATGAATGTGACATACTCGTGTTTCACAAAGTTGCATCGTCCCACCCACCAGGCATATAGAGTGCCCTGATTGGCCCACAAAGCGGATAAAGCTCTGTGATTTGTTCACTAAGCAGATAGAGCACTATGATTGGCCCACCATTATGGACCAATCACAGCTCTTTATGTGTTTGAAACCCCTCTAGAGAGCAGTGATTGGCTAGCCAGAATCCTGGTAGGAGCTGCTGAGGTTCCAATGGAGCATGCCTAGACCAAACTTTGCAAAGCAAGAATTTGGTCTAGTTCACTAGGCTAGGGATGTTTCTAAACATCAGACTAAAGCGGCTTAGACTATTGGTCAAGACGCCACTTCCTTTAACTTGGTCAACAGCACTGCCATTCCCTCTCAAACACATAAAAGGAGAACCTAACATCTACCGACACACGGAGCAGATTGAAGAACGTCTCGCAGAAAACGTCTGACGATATGAACGTTTATACACCAGTGACCGAAGGAGTGCAGAGATAGGCTATAAACTTTATATTTGTTTCAAGAAATTATGGGAAACACGAGTTTAGAGGTGGTGACAGCACGGAGATGTGGAGGGCAAATGATGGCTGAAACCCCCCAGAAAAGTGTTACGCCCTCTGCTGTACTGTTGGGGAATTGCTACACAACACTGACAAATACAGGTCCTTCTCAAAAAATTAGCATATTGTGATAAAGTTCATTATTGTCTGTAATGTACTGATAAACATTAGACTTTCATATATATTAGATTCATTACACACAACTGAAGTAGTTCAAGTCTTTTATTGTTTCTAATATTGATGATTTTGGCATACAGCTCATGAAAACCCAAAATTCCTATCTCAAAAATTAGCACATCATGAAAAGGTTCTCTAAACGAGCTATTAACCTAACCATCTGAATCAACTAATAAACTCTAAACACCTGCAAAAGATTCCTGAGGCTTTTAAAAACACAGGCTTCTCCGTGCGTCTTTTTTCTCTCCCGCGTTTTTGGAGATTTCCACATTCTCGAGAAGTGTGTGTGTGTGTGTGTGTGTGTGTGAAAAATTCCCACAGTAAGAATGAATAAAGTCACCGTGATTTCTTACCTCCAGTAGCCAGAAGATCATCAATAATCAGAACCTTCTGTCCTGCAGTCACCGCGTCTTCCTGGACCTCCACCTCTGCCTGCTCAGAACACACTCATGATCAGAGACTTGTCTCCTGACTGCTGTTTGTGTCCCTCCTGTCTCCCACTACATAACCAAAGCTACAGCTAGCTTAGAGCTGAGCCGGCGCCACAAAGGCCCAGTTTAGTTCAGTCTGTTACCACGGTGATAGGCTCGTATGTCCTGGAACCAGTATTACTCTGTTTGCTTTACCTTTCCATATTCCAGGTTATACGCCACAGACACTGTGGCGCCAGGGAGCTTGCCTTTCTTTCTGACCAGGACAAAGCCGACCCCCAGCCTTTGAGCCAGCAGGGGTCCAAACAGGAAGCCACGGGCGTCTAAACCTGCCACAAAACCACAGCAGGTTCAAATGTGTTAAAACAAGTTGGATCATAGGCCCAGCAGGCCACAGCTCCTCAAGGATGGGTTGGGACGGAGCTTTCTCCCAAAGGGATTTAATCTAAATGTGAGTTCAGACAGAGCTCGAGAAAACTGCTGCACCCACAACATTTTTACAGCACGAGGAGAAAAACGCAAAGCTAAGCCGAGAAGCATTACTTATTTCTGAGACGTCAGTAAAGAGGGAAGACAAAAACCTTCTAGTGAAAGTTTACAGGTCACCTGTCTCACCTCAACTGTTCAGATCAGATTAAAAAAAAAACAGTTGCTGTCTCACCTACAATCAGATCAACCTGCTGATGGTTGTTCCTCACATGTTCCTCTAGGAGGTCCATCACTGCTGTGAGACAAGCTGGGTTCTTCAGGATTGGACATATGTCTCTGAGGGACAGACAGAAGAACACAAAGCTCAGTTTATATTAGCGATTTCCTTTTATTTACCTGAAGAAGTTACAAAATAAAATGTTACGACCTCGTCCTACAGCCTAGCCACATGAGATATAATACGTTGTGTTAAGCTTTATTCCTAAAGCCCTAAGGACCAGAGGGAGCGAGGAAGGCAGGGATTGGGTTGCTATGGAACAGCACAGACATGAGTGTGGTTTAAAAACTGCGCTTCGGGGAGACCCTTGGATCTCTCAGCCTTGGAACTCCTCCATCTTCTGCACGTCGTTGGGGGCAGGTCTGTAGCCCCTCACACTCACTTCTGAACACTCCTATAGAGAAACCTTACATATACGAGCACGTGAACACACCAGGATGGACTTGGGCATTTTCAACACATCACCTGTGTGGTGTGCTCGTCATGGATTGTCCATAATGAACACCATGTTCAGACATAAAGGTGTCCATATGTGCTCTTGGCACCAGGATACCTTAGGCTGCAGCTCGATGATCGACTTTTGTTGTCTCATCTGATCTGCGGCTGCATGTCTTGGAAACTCGGGTGAAGAGTGGGGCTGAGTTGTCAACTGACCACTACCTGGTGGTGAGTTGGTTCCAGTGGTGGGGGAGGATGACAGTCAGACCTGGCAGGCCCAAAGGTATTGTGAAGGTCTGCTGGGAACGTCTGGCAGAGTCTCCTGTCAAAAAGAGCTTCTATTCCCCCCTCCGACAGAACTCCCAAAATGTCGATGGTTAGGGATGCTGTCAAGCTGAGGAAAGAGACCTATCAAGTATTTTTGGCCTGTGGGACTCCAGTGACAGCTGATAGGCACCGGCAGTCCAAGCAGAATGCGACTTGGATGATCACGGAGGCAAAAACCCGAACATGGAAGGAGTTCGGTGAGACCACGGAGCAAGACTTCCGCACGGCTTCGAGAAGATTCTGGTCCACCATCCGGCGCCTCAGGAGGGGAAAGCAGTGCACTACCAACACTGTTTATAGTGGGGACGGTGTGCTGCTGACCTCTACTCAGGACATTGTGGATTGGTGGGCAGAATACTTTGAAGACCTCCTCAATCCCACCGGCATGTCTTCCAGAGAGGAAGCGGAGCCTGGGCACTTTGGGTTTGGCAAAGAAAAGGTGAGCGCTACCATCAGTCCTGTGTCATACCAACAGTAAAGCATCCTGAGACCATTAATGTGTGGGGTTGCCTCTCATCCAAGGGAGTGGGTTCATGCACAATTTAGCCCAAAAACACAGCCATGAATAAAGAATGGTACCAAAACACCCTCCGACAGCAACTTCTTCCAACAATCCAACAACAGTTTGGTGAAGAAAGATGCATTTTCCAGCACGATGGAGCACTAATGGGCGTTCAATTTTCTATGTGTAATTTCTTCTTATTTGGTTTGGGAATTAAACAATTACGCCGTGAAACAATTACACCCTGTTTCATAGCCGGAGAATGTCCACCTTTTGGAATGGCTTCTTCAAACACAGAGAGCAGAAAAGAAGAAAGTTTGTCATTAAATGCTGTAAAAAAACTCCTGTTAAACCATCATTCCCTGGTGATTTATTTTCTTTTAACAGTTTAACACATTCCACAATTTAGGTAAGGAAACCTCCTCATCACAGATCTCTCTAAATCCTTCATTAATTTTCAAAGCATTTGTGCTGATGTTGTTAAAACAATCTATATCTGAACTCGTGGAAGCAGATGAAGATAACTCCTGATAAAAGGCAGCAACATGTTTTGAGATTACCTTATGATTAGTGACACTGCCATTGACTGACAAGCTACTTATTGTATTATATTCTGCATGTCTCCTTTGTATCCAATATTTTTCTATCTTTTTTTTTATCCATTTGCATCGGGATCTAACAAAGGCACCTTTAGTTATCATCTAGTTTACTTTGTAATAGTCAGATTTTCTTTCTCTTGTTCATTAGGATTACTATTTGATGTTATCTGTAAAGTTAAAATTACTGTAATAACTCGTGATTCTTTTTTTTTTTTTGCTTTTAGCCTTTTTTATACTCATCCTGTGAGTCTCCAGCTTCATTAGTTCCCACTTTTGTCCATAGTTACCAGAATACATGCTTGTTTCAGAAATGTGTTGATGATCCTACCTCTTTCTAGCTTAAATTCTAAATAGTTAAATTTCCAGAAGCTTTGAATACAGGTCTCTTGTCTACATACAAGGTCATTGACAAAAAAATCTATGCGTGACTGCTAAGACATGTTTTTTTTTTCATTTGTCTAAAGACAAAACAGCTTTAATAAACTGGTCAAACATGGGGAGGGGGGCACATAATATAACTATTAACACTTGATTTTTATAAATTTGGCAACGAAGCAAAGAGCTTGAATTTTAATGTCTTAGTTAGAAGCAAGTTTAACAGTTTGTTCCATCGACATATATAAAGGAATGGTTAAAGTAAAAGGTTTTTTTCCAAAATATATTCTGTTATAGTTCTGTAATTTTTAAAAAACGGTAAGTGAAAATAATCAAATATTGTAGTAGAGCCCTTTTAGCAAATCAGAGAAGGAAAAGGCGGAACGTTCCTTGGCCATCCCACGATTTTAAATGACGCAAAAGGGAAGGCGGACTCTGGAACCGAAGCTCCATGTCCTCCATTAGGAAGTTAGTTTGTGGTTTACAGGCTGCGGACCAAACTGCTGCTGCTACACTAATTAAACTCACCTGAACAGGATTCCTTCTTTGGGAAAGTTTTGAAAAGCACGGATGTGACGTTCAATCAAACGCAGTTTAGATTCTGAGCTTTCCGCCATCCCGCTACCCGGCTGCTGCTCATGCGCATGTGCAGTAGCTCTTCTTTCTTTCTTTGAAGGACGGCAGTCTAGACCACAGATACATAGACCCCGCGTGACTGCACGCTACGGCCATGCGGCTACGGCGCTGATGAGGGGTGGCGCCGCCATCTTGGATCGGTCGAGAGAGTAAAACTGTGATGCAGTTTTCGGTACTCAGACATCAGTTCTGATTGCATTACAGCCGGACAGGACACAGGGAGAGAGAGAAAAAAGAACTGACTGCTTAAATGAGTTTATTTAATTTGTTCAGTCTTAATTTATCTGTTTATTGTGTTGAGAATTTTTAAAATAGTAATTAAAAGCTTTACATGAGCTAAAAATCCCTGAAAGAGGACTGCTTTGTAGAACTTTTATCTGGAGCTCCCCTTCTGCAGTTAGAGAGGTGAGATTGGCCATGTGTGGCTGCCTTCTCTTCAGAACCACCGACTAAACCAACCAACAACATCACGTCTGACGGCCGCGGCATCAGCTTGAGTGCTGCACATGGTCTTCTTAGGCCAGGCTCGTCATCCACCAACCACAGCATCCTGTAAAAAATAGAAACAAATTTTTAAAAGTGCATTATGTAGAAATGAAGTAAAAATGGTAGCCTAGCCTGCCAGACTCTTCCTCTGTTTAATTCTGCACAGAGAATCATTCTCTATGCAGAATTAAACAGAGGAAGCCAGGCAATAAAAAATGGCATCTTGTGATAAAATGTGATTATTACAACCACTTTAAACAACTCTGGAGCTTTTTGCCGGTCATCGTCAAATTACAATAGGCACTGCAGCATTAGCTCACAGGAAACATGGAAGCCCCACACTGACTGATGGTAAACTGTTGTTAACGTACATCCCTCCTTCCTTTGATTTGAAAGGAGAAAAACTGACAATCCAGCAGCCAGCTGGACATGAAATATGTGTCTGTAGAACCTTCCTTCCTAAATGACTGAAACATTAGACTCGTTTGGGATTTTGTCACTGTAAAGTTCTCACTGTATTCTTAGCTACTGCACCTTTAACATATTTGCATCAGTAATTTCAAATAGCTGAATTGGACAACATTGACTTGCTTTGTATTATGTGTTGGTGTGGGAGGGGCAAAAATAATCTCTCTGAGGTATCTGTGTGTGTTAGGACTATGAAAATGATGGGTGAGAACTTCCTGCAGTTCTTTGTGTATTTATGGTACTGATTTGCCATAAAGGTCATCTGAAGATCTTGGGTTTAGAAGCAAAAGTTAATAATTCCTCTTTGTGTTAAAATAAATGAATCTGAAGAGTTTGAGTGAAGTTTTACTTCACATACAGTCGTGGCCAAAATTTTTGAGAATGACACAAATATTAGTTTTCACAACGGCTGCTGCTGAACTGCTTTTAGATCTTTGTTTCAGTTGTTTCTGTGATGTACTGAAATATGATTACAAGCACTACATATGGCTCAACGGCTTTTATTAACAGTTACATGACATTTATGCAAAGAGTCAATATGTGCAGTGTTGGCCCTTCTGGACCTCTGCTCTCAATCAACTTCTGGGCGAAATCCTGACTGATAGTAACCCATTCTTTCATGATCACTTCTTGGAGTTTGTCAGAATTAGTGGGCTTTTGTTTGTCCACCAGCCTCTTGAGGATTGATCAAAAGTTCTCAATGGAATTAGGATCTGGGCAGTTTCCAGGACATGGACCAAAATTTCAACGTTTTGGTCCCCGAGCCACCGAGTTAACACTTTTGCCTTATGGCACGGTGCTGGAAAATGCATTGTTCTTCACCAAACTGTTGCTCTTGTGTTGTTAGAAGAAGTTGCTGTCGGAGGGTGTTTTGGTATCATTCTTTGTTCATGGCTGTGTTTTTGGGCAAAACTCCCTTGGATGAGAAGCAACTCCACACATGAATGGTCTCAGGATGCTTTACTGTTGGCATGACACAGGACTGATGGTAGCGCTCACCTTTTCTTCTTCGAACAAGCCTTTTTCCCGATGCCTCAAACAATCGGAAAGGGGCTTGATCTGAGATTATGACTTTGCCCCAGTCCTCAGCAGTCCATTCGCCATACTTTTTTGCAGAAGATCAATCTGCCCCTGATGCTTCCTTTTGGAGAGAAGTGGCTTCTTTGTTGCCCTTCTTGACACCAGGCCATCTTCCAAAAGTCTTCGCCTCACTGTGTGTGCAGATGCGCTCGCACCTTCCTACTGCCATTCCTGAGCAAGCTCTGCACTGGTGGTACTCCGATCCCGCAGCTGAATCCTTGTTAGGAGACAATCCTGCCACTTGTTGGGCTTTCTTGGACGCCCTGAAGCCTTCATAATTATTGAATCTCATTCTTTGCAGTTCTTGATGATCCTATAAATTGTTGAATCAGGTGTAATCTTAGTAGCCACAATATCCTTGCCTGTGAAGCCATTTTTATGCAACGCAATGATGGCTGCACATGTTTCTTTGCAGGTCACCATGGTTAACAATGGAAGAACAATGATTTCAAGCATCACCCTCCTTTTAGCATGTCAAGTCTGCCGTTCTAACCCAATCAGCCTGACGTATGATTTCCATCCTTGTGCTCATCAGCATTCTCTCCTGAGTTAACAAGACGATTACTGTGATGATATATGGAAAACAATTGTTGTTAACTGTGGTAAACACGTAAGAGAGGTGAGGAGTAAACTCACGCAATATAATGTGCTAAACAGATACTATTATACGCCATCTAGACTGTTTAGAATGAAACTAGTGGATGATGATTTGTGTTGGAAATGCAAAACGAGTATTGGGACGTTCATGCATTGTATTTGGGAATGTGCTCCTATCAGATGTTTTTGGACCCGTATTGTCAAGATCTTAAGTAATTGGTGTGGAACAGACATCCCTTTTAACCCAGAACTGTGCTTATTGGGAGATAAATCTCAGTTGCCTAATGTAAATAAGTGTAATTTTTCAATCATCTCAGTGGGGTTAATAACAGCCTGTCGAGTCATTTTAAGACACTGGAAAGCAGTAGAATCTCCAGAGGTTAAGGAATGGGTCTGTGCAATGGCCGAATCTGCATCATATGAATGTATGCTCAGTAAAATGAGTGAAGACAACAGAGAGGGAACTTCTCACTGGGATAGATTCTGGAACTTTTTAAAGACAGACAAAGGCCTTGGGTGAAATCAAGCATGTCATGTGACTGCTGTTGTTCCAACGTTACGTGTCTGCAGGAGTTATATGATTGGGACTTGTATTCAAAATCAACTGTTACAACTGTATGTTTAGTCCCTCCATGTTTAGTATCTATTGAGACTGTTATGTACCAGCCCCTCAAAGAAAGTTCAATAAAAACTTGAATTAAAAAAAACAACAAAAAAAAAACAAGACAATTACTGAATTGATCTCAGCAGGTCCTTTAATGACGGCAATAAAATGCAGTGGAACGTTTTATTTTTGGGATTAAGTTAACAGCAACTTTTCCAATTTCCCATTTTTGTATCATTCTCAAAACTTTTGGCCACGACTGTACATCCATTTGAATCCACTGTGTGTGTGTGTGTGTGTGTAGGGTCATTATGATATGATGTTTAAATACTCACACCATCAGGCTGAGGTTAGAGTCTCTTGGCATCCATCCTGGGAGGTCACCGACAGGCTCTCTTCAGCTCTTCTGGATGCAGTTCTGCACTTCTCTGGTCAACACAAACATGTATATTATGTTTATTATATATTAGTGATTATAGTACACACCTGTGGTTCTCAGCTGACACCAGTGTCACCCAGATATGATTCTTACTACGGTGATTAAAATAAATTAATTTGTGAGAAATGACATCAAAATGAGGTATGTGGGGAAAAGTATTGCACTATGCCTTGTGATTGGTAAAAGGATATGTACATGTATGGATGCTGATGGCTTTATGATACACTTAATAAGCTGACTCCTGCTATGAGTATCCCAGTCTGACACAGCCCAGTTCTAATCATAATAAACCAGTTGAAGGAAGCCTCACACTTCTTCCTCACATCTTTTGTGGGAAAGCTACAAAATGAAACATGAGATTTGCACTATAACTGTGTTTTGGGAGGATTCCAATCACTGGCTTTTTTCTAAAATCCAGCTGAGAGACTTTCACTCTGGACAACATCGTGGAATCAAACTGAGGGGTTTACAAGCAGACTATGTTGTTAATGTACTAATATTACTTTCAAAATATTTAATTCACTGTTAAAGACGGAGGAAAGTAAAGCCCTTGTTTTCTGTATTCAAAAAGCAACTGATAGAAAACTAATTAGCTGCTCTAAGCGGGCAAGTGCTCCACCACCCATCCTGGTCACATTCTACAGAGGAACTATTGAAAGCATCCTCTCCAGCTGTATCACTGTGTGGGTCAGTAGCTGCACTGACTATAACAGGAAAGCTCTACAGCGCATTGTGAGAACAGCTGAGAAGATAGTTGGTGCACCACTCCCCTCCCTGCAAGACATTTACACCACTCGCCTCACCCGCAAAGCCATCACAATTGTCAACTACGCCACCCACCCTGCGCACTGTCTGTTCAGCCTCCTGCCCTCTGGAAAGAGATGCAGAAGTCTCCGCTCCCACACTACCAGGCTCACCAACAGCTTCGTCTACCAGGCTGTGAGACTGCTGAACTCTCTTCCCTCACAGATCCCAGCCAGCAGAATCACCAGGGTGACAGGAGTATAGGATGACAGACTGGACCCCCCCCCCCCCCCCTCCCCACACACACACACACACACACACACACACACACACACACACACACACACACACACACACACACACACACACACACACACACACATTATACAAAAAGGAAATAGTGGTTGAACCAATAACAGGGTAAACATTTCTGATTGTAAACAACTACCTCTGCATTGAAATTGCACACACCTGCTGCTATATGTTTTGTATATTATTAGCGATATTTATCTGTTTAATATTATCTTATTGTTAGGGATGTTTTTTGTTTTGTTATTGTTGTGCATCTGCACTTTATGTAAATGTCTACGCATGGGACAGTGTGAAACGTAATTTCAATTCCTTTTATGGCAAGCACATTCGAAGAATTGACAAATAAAGTATTCTATTCTAAATTGCATGAAGAATAACGAAGCAGAATGAATGCGTTTGATAACCTGGGAATCTTTGAAGACCTCTAAGTCAATTATACGAGTATGTGAATGCAGATTATCTATGTTCCCTGTAATCTAATGCTTGGATATTGAATGCATAAATAAATATGCATTAAAGTCTGTAATGTTGAAAATGTAACGGAAGCAGGCGGAAACGTCACTTCCGTCTCTACTCCACCATAGCCAAAGAAGATGGCGGTCGTTGTAGAGAAAGTAGATGGATGTTGTGGTTCTTTGGAGCCAGGCACGGTGTCGCTGAGGCAGGCCAGCCCTCCCCCAGACCAGCCGCACCAGAACAACCCGCTGCTGGCGCTGCCCATCGTCGCTATCGAGAATATTCTGGATTTTCTGTCCTACGATGAGATCAGCGTGCTGCGTTCGGTAAGGAGGTGCTGGTGCCGCCACGCAGGCTGCGGGGCTCGGGAATAATGTGGTGGTGGAGGGTGATCTGATCCCAGTCCAGCTGCATACTGCCGGTGGTCTCAGTCCCATGTTTCAATGTTGTGCTGCATGTTTTCCTGCTGAAGACGTGGACGCGTCTTTATGGTCCACAGACTGGCCCTGTCCAGCTGACTTTCCATGTAGAAGATGATTTCGGTCTCATTAAACGGTGACCAGGGTTAAATTCAATCTGTTAATGGTATTATGTACCAAAACACGTGCACGCAGTTTCTGCGCGCGCGCATGAACGTTACACGCGCGAGGAAGTTAAAACTCTTGAGTGAAAATATGCATCGAGAGGGCAACGCTCAGAGCAAACTTTGTGCCAGCCAAGGGGCAATTATGGTCTTAAAGCCAAGGAGTGGCTAAAATCGCAGTTCCACCCTTATCCGCTAGGGGCTGGCACCAGAACTGAGTAAACCTCATCGACTCCCATATTAAAAAAGAAAATTTCACAGCAGAAATAAACATGTTTACAGCCTGGTTCAAAAACAATTTCAGGTTTAATAGCTGTAGTTTACACTCATGATACCCTGAGGGGGTGAATTTTTTGTAATTCTTCTGTGTAAGTGTAATTAAATGCTTACAATTTAAGATTTACCCCCCCCCCCCCCCCCAATGTCCAAAATAATTGGCACTTTAATGTGCAGCAGGTTCACTTGCTGGGAAATGTGTGTGTGCGTGTGCAGCTACTTTCCCCGATGTGGACTAGCCAAGCGTGCATCAACATTATAGAGCCTTTACTATTCAATTGATGATTAAACTGTGTAATTTGGGTATGCCAGGGAACCAACACTTTAAGATAATTTGACACAGAGGCAAAACTATGGTTTATAAAAATCTTTTTATCACTATATTTCTACTGCTAATGATGCAGGACAAATGATTATTAATGCTAATTCAAGGTAATAATTCAATTCAAGTTTATTTATAAAGCGCCAAATCACGACAAGAGTCGTCTCAAGGACCTTCACAAAATAAACATTCCAATACAGGTCAGTTCATTAAGCCAATCAGAAAAAAAGTTTCCTATAAGGAACCCAGCAGGTTGCATTGAGTCACTGACTAGTGTCAGTCTATTCCTTATACCAGCTCAGTGGCCTAGTGGTAGAGCGTCCGCCCTGAGACTGGAAAATCAGGGTTCGATTCCTGGTCGGGTCAGACCAAAGACTTTGGAAAAATGGGATCCAATGCCTCCCTGCTTGGCACTCAGCATTAAGGGCTGGATTGGGGGGTTAAACCACCAAATGGTTCCCGAGCGCGGCTATGTCTGCAGCTCACCGCTCCCCCAGGGGATGGGTCAAATGCGGAGAAAAAATTTCACACACACATCAGTGTGTGTGACAACTAATGGGACTTTAACTTTAAGCAAGCATTTAGCGACAGTGGAGAGGAGAACTCCCTTTTAACAGGAAGAAACCTCCAGAGAATCCTGGCTCAGTATAAGCAGCCATCCACCACGACTCACTGGGGATCGAGAAGACCGAGCCGACACACACACACAACATATATACCAAGTAGTGCTGGGTATTGATTCAAATTTCCAGAATGGATTCGATTCAGATTCTTGAGATTTAGAATCGATTATCAGCATGTGATTCGATCGATTCCGATCCGATATCGATTTGACTCGGATCATCAATTAAAAAATATTTTTGCAGTTACCTTAATTCCATGACTGCACAGTGCAGTATATTGATAATATTGACATTCAATGATTAATTAATGAAATATTCGCTATTAAAAATTAGTGATGCACAGATGGATCGGCATTTGATCGTAATCGGCCGATAGCGCCCCTATCGGTTTTGATCGGAATTTTCAAAATGGATCAAAGCAGACCGATCAGGTAGGGTTGCCACGGTAACCAGTGTAGCGGTAAACCCCGGTAAAAAAAAAAGTTGACAATAATAATAACCGTCTTGATAAAAAAAAACGATATTATCTTGGTGGGTTTACCGTGGCTGCGGTGTAGGTGCGGTGACCCTTACCAGCCACCGTATCATCTGCTGAAGTTGCCGGTGGCACATGCACGCTTTGCTGTTTACAACCAAAACTTTCTTGAAGCTAAAGCTGAAGTAATGGTCAAAGGAGGAGACGGCAGCGCTCAGGAGGACATTTATTATCCCTCAAAGAAGACAAAGTCGGAAATACGGGCATTTTTTGGATATTTGAAGAATGCCGAGGGAGTTTATAGAAGACGGCTATCCTGTTTGCAGCACGTGCAGAAAAAGTGTCTGTGAAAGGCAGCAATGCTTCAAATCTCATGACACATCTGCGTGACCATCACCCACAACTCTACAGCCAACGCAAGACACGTTAACGTTAGCGTTTTAGCTAAAATGCGTGATCCGAGGATTTGGGTTGAGGGAGAATGCAACGAGTCGCTATATAAAGCAGCCGCAGCGCCGCTACCTGCATATAAACCGTGTCGCGGACACCGCCATGTTGAAATGACGCTATGCATTACGGGGCTCCCAGGGGCAGATAAGAGTTGGTCTCTCTCCGAGAATAATTATGAATTTAACAATGATTACTGCCTGATGACATTTTCCCCACATCTGCAAAGCTCACTGGAAGGACACAAACCGAGGACAATATTTTCCTGATATAGGGTTTATTACTCAAGTAAGGGTAAAAAAGTGTCTGATTAGAAGGCTACTTGAGTACTGAGTATCATCTGATCTAATATTTTTAAAATGATGACATCAAACAGACAAAAAATAAGAAGTTTTAGGCAAATATTGGTATTTTAAAGACTAAAGGGGAAAAATGTAAACAAATAAACAACATCATTACAAAATAACACATTTTAGGCAAAATTTAGACACAAACTGAGGACAATATTTCCTGACATACAGGGTTTATTTAATTGTGTGAAAATGTAGCACGTTTAAAAAAAATACCGCGATAATACCGAAAACCGTGGTAATTTTGGTCACAATAACCGTGAGGTTAAATTTTCACACCGTGACAACCCTAATACAGACCATTTTAGATTAGGTTACATTTCCTTTATTCCCAGATTATGTAGTTTGTAGCACTCATTATAATGTTGTAGAAAATTTCTGGCCAATCCACGTGATTGGTATCGGTGATCGAAATCGGTGATCAGCATTCTTTGATATCGGTATCGGTGATCGGCAGCAAAAAACCTGATCGGTGCATCCCTATTAAAAATGGCTGTAAGGACCAGTCTCTCTCCCAGAATGTCAAGCTTTTCCAGTGTTTTCTAGGACATTATTTAAATTCAGACATTAGGAATTCATCCAAGAGCTATTGCTGTTGAAAGCAAATGCCATTTTTATTCAAATAAGTTTAACCTTATGAAAAAAGATGTTATTTGCCAGTGTAAAGAAAAATTGGCTGGCTTAGCCATATTGTAAGGAGAAACTGTCTTTACTCAGTTATATTGTTAAGAAGACTCAAAGGTTGTTTTCATCGATAAACTGACGATAATATCTGTGTGTCTGTGTTTCAGTTCAATGAGGAAACCAGTTTGACAATTAAAAGTTTTAATTCTTCAAATTAAACTAATGATTTTGAAATTGACAAACAGGAAATAACAATCAACATTGGCAACTTGTGGGACAATCTTTAACAGTTGATATGCTGTTCTTGCTCAAATAGACCTTCTGTTGGTGAATGAAGATTGAGAGTAATAGGATGTGGTTATGGATGCGTGGGTGTGGAAGGTGTCGTGAGAATTGAACATGAGGTGAGATGAATGCGTGTGTGCATCTGATTTTGCATTTCCTCACGTTACACCAGTGCAAATGTAAACAGAAACAGAAAGCTTAAAATTAACTGCTTTCATTTTACTTTGTGCAAATAGAAATTAAAAGGTACAGAACCTTAAACAACTGTTTCACAGTCTTGTGCAAAAACTTAAACACTTCAAGTATCCAGAAACATTCAAATGCCATTAAAGTACAAAAATGAAAACTTATGAAAAGTGAAAACTGAAAGGCATTCCATATTAATGTACAAACAAAATTGAACAGGAAATGAAACTTGACTAAAGACGGACTGTGTAAACTGTCCTCTTATGTACATCACTTGGGAATGGTAGGATTCTTCTGCAGGAACAGTAGCTGATTCACGTGACCAGGGGTGAGACAGCTTCTTTTTGCAGTGATTATATCACCTGCAGTAGAAAAAACCCTCTCAGATGTGACACTGGTCCCAGGGACACAGAGATATCGCTTTGCCATGCGACTCGAGCCAAAAGAGGATACTCTTTTCATTCTCTCTCCACCACACCAGAGGATTGTCCTGCAGGTCTCCTTGCCCTGTACCTCTTGATCTCATCTTCTGCCACCTCTGCACAAGTTTTCTTTGCATGTCCCCTCTCTTCTCTTGGTCTGTAGGCTTCCCCAAGGAGAGACTCCAAAGTACTGGATTGCTTGGGGTTAGGTGCAGGGGGGTTGTTTTCCTCCTCTTCCTCCATTTAATCAACTTCATCTTGCTGCATGAGAGAGAAGAAGCACTTATGTGTGTTGTTGTGCAACAATAGGCTTTGGTTTGGCTATGAATAACTTAAAGCTGCTTTCCGGAGTTTTTCTCCATTCAGAAATTCTGTATGATTTGTCAGAAATCTGTAAAAGTGATTGTCTGTGATATAATGTAAGCAATACGTTATTTATTTATTTATTGCTAAGCACGCCCCCTGCCCCGCAGAGCTCAGTGCAAAAGGAAACTGAGCGCTGACCAGAACTATCCAATAGCGTTAGACTACTGCTTATTTGCTTCAAATTTATGGAACACCTCGGCTGATGCGGAGTTGATTAACTTTTCACGGACAAGTAAGTCTCTAAAATATAAATATATGAGAACGCAACATGACATGAGAATAATACTCGTAAAACAGCGTGTTTTAGCTCTGTTTGTCAGCTATAGAGCTCCGGACCCCACGTGACTCTCAGATAGTAGACGCCATA